CCATATAAATAGCTATTTCGAGTAACACATGACCGATTGAATTTGGCAATATCTGAAAACGTCAACCTGTTACATTTTTAAATCTCTCTCTATTTAAAATTTTAAGTAAAAAGCTGTTAATTGCTGTGTCTCGTAAATTAGAAAATTACGCATGAGCGAATTTCATCAATTCATTTTTTTCCTCCATGAACTGAAGAATATCATCAGGCACAACAAAGATTCCATATTTTCCAGTAGCCTTTGGAGCCTTTATCTTACGCAGAACATTATTATTTTCAACCCAAATTCGATCCATCTTTGTAGGCCACTTAAACCTTTGTATAGCTTTACCACTCTGTCATTAAATTTATATGTACATTGAATCATCATTTTTATCAACTTCTAGAACTTGGCCGATATAACAGTTATCATCATTTTCTGCAACAACAAAGTTAGACACTTCAACATTATCTTTACTTTCACCATCACTATCTATAGCCTTAGATTCACCTTCACCACTACTTCCTTTTGCCTTATCATCAACTGATGCTTGATTGGAAGTATCAGATACATTACTTGTATCATTCCTTTGTTTGACTTCCCTTAATGCTATGATGTCCCATTTACAACTGGACTCTGAATTAAATCCTTGTTCACTAAAGCATTTTTGACATGCACATGTTACATGTTTCTCATCAACAATAGGTTGGGCCTAATTGATGTAATTGCATGCACTGACATTGTACCTTTAATAGGTTTTATCTCATGCTGTCTTTTCTTAGTTTCTTTACTTTTGTCATTGTATTCTTCTTGCGTAATAAGCTGATAACCTATTTCGCTCTGGTTAGCTTTCGCCCATGCATAAAAATCGTGGGCATCTTGTATTACAACTTTGGACTGTTAAACAGCTATATCAGCATTTCGTTTTGCGGTGCACCCAACACCGTCACACGCGCTTTTTCCATGTCCACTCTCGAAATAGTGCCAGCTTGTCTTACAACCATGTATACGTTCGAAATTGCACACCAAATCAAAAATTGACCGATTCCTATACTGTGAAGACGCTGAATCTGTCCAAAAATGAACATACATTTTGTACTTTTGTTCAGGTACAAGTTCCCGCTCTTTTTTAACCACTTTCAAAATAGTTGCTCTTTATTTTTTGGCACGGTACTCTTTCATGCGTTCTGATTTTGACTTAGCCATCCTGGAATAGGAAGATAATTATATCTATCAGGGTACTTTAAACTGGGTTTAAACTTAATATTTTTATTTTATTTTTAATGGAAATAATACAAATTCCCTTTGAATTAAATTTTTATTGTGATCGCTACAAATAATTTCACACAGTTTCTTCAAAATACATTTAGGAACTGTAGAAACATATTTCTAATTTACACTGGACAAAAAAATCTAATTTACGGGACAGAAACATAAAAGGATATATCAGAACATATTTATTTTTTTTTTGTAATTATACTAGAAATTAATCAAAGTTGAGAGATATTACAGTGTGCATAAATCGAATCTAAACACATCTAACAAACAGTTAGCTCAATAGTGATGTGTGAAATGTACATACACAATGAAAATGTGAAGATGTAAAACTCCGTTCCCTTTTAAACGCACTTATTTCAAAAAGGACAACATTCAAAACTGATATTGTTTTACTTAATCACATAAATACATACAACATTAGTTTTGTATAAGTCTTGCACTTGCTATTTTTGTACTTTTTTAAATAACTACCCCGTCAGGCCGAGGATTCATTATTTCTAATTTACGAGACTTTTTTTCTAATATACGGGACGAAATGTTTTTAAGCAGAATAAATGCCGGAGTTTATTACTGACACCTAATCTCGACATATATTTATCAATAATGATTTAGCTAATGATTTTGTACTAATATATAATAACACAATCGCTAAACAAAAATGAACATATGTTCCAAATATCTACCTAGTTTAAGTTTTTCCGCAAGTCAACTTCTTTTCAAAAATTTGGCGGCGAACATGTGACGTTTACTTTCGATTGTCTATTAAAGGACAAATAGGGGTTAATAATAGCGAAACGTGCATAAAATACACGATTAAAAACGGGTTTATGGTGGTTTTTGTCCCGTAAATTAGGACTCGTAAATTACAAATTCTACGAATAAGTGCTTATTAGATCACCAACATAACTATATTTCTAAAATGAATATAACAAACTTACATTCTAAGGCTTATGCAGCATTGCAGTTACAACTTGTGAAGACAGTATCTGTTCTGTCATATTAAATGAAAAGACAATCAGCTTGAAATCAAATGTCCCGTAGATTATAAAGCTTATTTTCCGTTTTGATCAACTCAAAAGCAACCCTTTTCATATATTTACAGAAAGAGACATTGAATTAAACTTACTTTATTTATTTTGGATGACAAATAAGACATTTAAAAAAATGTTAATTGTAGTAAATACAAATATATTTCCCAAGTCTGATATGGTTTTTAAGTTTGGACTCGTAAATTATATCCAATTTAGCGACAGAAATAATATGGAGATGAAAAACACAAATCTAGAAAAAACAAATATTTCTATTACTGTAGTTAAATAAGGTCATTGAATATTGTAAATGAATGCATTTTTTGATTAAAAAAACTCGTCAATCTATATCTAAACAACCTAAAAGTATAAAAGAATTGTTTGGCGACATAGGAAAATGCGGATCCTAGGGCTATTCCAGAAATCGCATTTTTCGTGAAAGTTTTCATAATCACTTTAAAAAATGATTTTTCTTATCTAAAATTGACCTTTCTATCGGAAAGGAAATGCTTTTTACAGACACACTTATTTCAACTTGTGTTAGGACCTTTAAAGGTTGGCGACACATATTGGCAATTCTATGTGAGAATGGGTCTTAACTCGCGAAAACATATTTCAAATCGCTATCACCTTACAGGAAATATAACACAAATTATGAATGGGTATATAAAGTAGTTTCCTGAATGATTATACCAATGGTTTGTGTTAACTGTATGCATCTTTTCGTCCGTAAGAATAAGACATTCCGACACACTTTCCACATTATTATTATAATTGAGCGAGGTAGGATCTCTAAATAACAACAATGATTAAGGGAAGACCGCCCACTTATGAACATTATACCGCCCCCTTTATCGCCAGCGGGTACCACTAAAATACGCAATGGAGATTTTTTGGCGCAACGGAGATATTTTTTTAGAAAAACTGACACAATTCCTTTTTTAAGGTCAATATGCTTTATTTAATTGTCTAAAACTTTTTTTTACCACTATTAAATATGTGTGCTTTAATATTTTTTTTAAAATTGTACATGTTTAATTGCACTGAATTGTTATATGCCTGGCGAAATGGAAATATCATGGCGCAACGGAGATAAGTTTTTATGAAAAACCGGCAAAACGCATTTTTTATAAAGTCAATATGCTATATTTTAGCATCAAAAATGATGGTTTAAGACTATTAAGTAAGTATGTTTTAAGATGTTTCATGAATTGTATATGTTTAATTGCACTGAAGAGTTAAACATGCCTTGCGAAATGGAAATTTCATGGAGCAACGGAGATAATTTTGGAAAATGGGCACAGCGTATGTACAAATATATGGAATTGATTAACGCCAATGTTATTTGAATAAATAAATCTATAAAAAAATCATATAAAAACCTTAATCATATATCAAATAGCTGCAATTTTGATGTTGTAAAGGATTGTGCGCCGGCGAAATGGACATTTTGTCTGCGCAACGGAGATTTGTTTTTTGGCGCAACTGAATTTCTAAAGAAAACAACATTTGTCTTGAATAGTAGTTTGAAGTAGTAAAACATTAAAGATATTTACTGAATTACTGAAGTGGTGTAATAAAAGTCTGTTATATGAATTAAAAAAGAATTTGAATTAAATATTGTTTTGAAAGATTATACGAGTGAAAATGAACTTATCAACGGCGCAACGGAGATTTATTACAGCTAGCGCAATGTCGTTGCGCAACGGAGTTTTTTTCTTCATATAAATAACACAGTGGGCCTTATATAGCCAAGGTATATAAACGAAATCAGGTAGATCAAATAATGGATACAGTGCCACAATTGGGGGAAAACTATTAGTGACTTAGTGGTTTAGGTATTTTCCTCTCAACCAATGCTCACGGCCATTCTTCGACAGTACGTTATTATCAAGGATCGGACATGAGAGTGTGGTTCTAATAAGTCCGTATGTACAATAACTGGTAACTTTCATAACCATATAAGGTAGGGAAAAGAAACAACATATTTATCAATGAAATATATTCAACATTATTTATGTCATAACATGAAATTATATGTACAGTACACAAACCAATAAATAATTATTAACTTATTATGTCAGATATTATGAGAAATTTATATAAATATAATCTGATTGAATTAAAAAAAAATTATGTAGAAAATGGCAAATTTGATAGAAGGAAATGAATGAATATTTTAAAAAAATCTATTGCATTTATTTTGCACCTATTTAAGTTAAATTGAAGAGATTATTCTGCATGAATGTATAGATATCTTAAGAATTTGTACATTATATACAATATATATTTAAACCTTTAGAAATAAACATAACTATGAAAAGCTGAATTAAGTAATATATGTTAATGAGAAAAATATTTTTTATTTGGATGAAAATAATTCATTTACATGAAAGAAAATACATAATTTATTTGAATAATTTAAGCAATGCAAATAAAACGAAGTATATACACAAACATTAACATATCGTATGATAGCATTATAAGCACAAAGTATATTATTAGTTTAACAAATACATTAGTTGAAATTATATATACATAATATACATGACATGAAATATGTTGTTCGCTTTATATACAGTGTTCACATAACTAATCACAAAGGACACGCCGTTTACAAGACGGTGTCCTCGACCTTTCAGCCCTTTTTCGTTTTTGTTGATTAGGCTTTTTGCCAGCTGATGGGGTTTTAATGACCGTTCGTTGTCCGTTTGAGGACCTGATTTCGTTTACGTGAAATCGCCCTTTATTATTTCGAAATCGTTTTATCCGATTTTTCTGCTGGTCACAAGTCATCCTAGACCAAGTTGAAACGTCGACTAAATGATGCTCGAATGGTCGAGCCACTTTAAAGTTTCCCATCCCTCTTATTGCCCTTAGTCTCTCTTTACTTTCATATTGTCTACTATTTCCTGCCAACTCTCTATGAATTTTGGTAAGTCACATATCTTCCAATTCACAGCTGCCTTAAGTACATGATTTGCGCTTTCCGAATTGTTACTTGTTACAGAAAAATGAAATACGCAGTATTTGGCGATAGTTATATTTCCAGATTAGAAAGATATACTCATGGCAAACTAGAAATCAACAGACAATGCAAGTTCTTTGGTGTTCCTGGCATGTCTACCACAAAGAAATTCCAAGATGCTTTTGAACAATTACTAGCATATCGTCCAAGGTAAGAATAAAATAGCCATACTCTTAATTGATAATAATTAAAAAAGAACACAATATGAATATACAATATCATATAAAATACTGGCAGTTTTTTTAATGACCAGATTTACTTATTCCATAACGCAGCTTTCAATACATTTTGTTAAATAAAACTGTTATTATTTAAATAAGACATATTCGGTAAGATTAACATAAAGTTCAAAATACTTAAAAAAAATCATGTCTTTAAAATACAGGGATTTGGTTGCGTTTTTATTATTTTTTGTTGCTGATCCTTATATATATTTTATTTTCATTTCAGATATGTGTTCCTGAACTTGGGAGGAAATTCATTTATCGCCGACTGTAATCCACATACTGTGTATTTAGAGATAATTGACATTGTAGACAAAATGTACAAAGCTGGTGTGCAGCGTGTATTTGTTGCTAGCATTATAGAGCGGGGAAAATTCCCGCACTGGACTGGACTCAATCGGTCCATTTTCAACAAGATGAGAAATTCGGTCAACTCGAAATTGAAAAAATACTACAGAGAAGATTTCATTCAGATAGGGAAAAGACTAAAATTCGATAGACATTACGACGACGATAAAGTGTATCCAGGTTTACAACAAGGTGGACTGAAATTATTTAAGTACTGTGTGCTGAATGCATTAAAAAAAACGTTGTGATTAAATCATATTGTAACATAAACCTGTAATTTTCATATCAATAAAAATAAACACATTTCTGGATTTCATTTATTTCATTTATCTTCTAATGAATGTAATAAAAAAATATGACAATCTATACCTCACAGAAGATACATTTATCCGAACAATTCTTGGAACACACATAACAAGGATATCTAGCCATTTTGAATTCTTAAAGAAGAAGAATTAAGATAGGAACAAATATGACATATATATGTTTTCGGGTCTTTTGATATATAACCCTTTGTTAAAAAAAAATTAATTACCAACCCGCTTCTTCTGATGGAAATTTGTCATAAAAGATGCCGCCGTGACACTTGGTTCTCAAAATAATATAGAAAATATTGTTTTTAGATGATTTCTATTAATTCAAAACATTATTTTATTCACCACATACTAATATAAATTTAAAAAATGCATTGCTAATCGTATTTTATTGCCACATTTTAAATTTTGCACTCCGTTGCGCCCGTTGCGTCCGTTGCGCCAAAAAATCTCCGTTGCATATTTTAGTGGTACCGATCGCCAGCTATTCATTAGCAGCTTAGGGCGTTTTTTTAATAGCAACATTTAGAAATCTACTTGATCTATTTTAGGCCCATTGTTTTTCATACCTATAATTATTAGTTTTATTCTTAATTTTATACCAATGATATTCAATATGGTAAAGAAAGTCGGCTTTCTCCAAAAAATATTAGAGCGGCGCCAATAATTTACTCCTGTCCTTCGGGATGATTTGGAACATCTCGGGCTTTTACAATAGCCGAGAACCAAAATGCGTCAGGAAACCAGAACATGGCAACTTGCAAATATCAATAATGAATACGATGTTTCAGTGTATTTGATGATTACTTTTCCGTAGATAAAGAAATGATGGTCAATTACAAATAAAGTATGTATAAATCTCTTTCCATACCAGAAATATTTTTCCATGACAAGCTTCATGATAATGCAGGTGAGCCCACTGGCACAGACACTTGGGACGTGGAGCTCAAAATGTTTTAAAATCCAAATAAATTATATATTTGTCAATCCCGGCACAAATATATGACAAGTCTAGGATTGACGAATATACATTTTATTTGGATTTTAACGCATTTTAAGCTCAACACCTCAAGTGCGGTACGTTACGATACCGAAATCAACTTGATTTCGGTAAAGTTACCGAAATCAACTTTTCATTACCGAAATCAACTTATAAAATCACAATTAAGCGTTTTATTATATTTTTTTCATAATAATATATTACAATAGGTTAAGTTTGACTTTAATGCAAAAAATCAGTTCGAAATAATCATTAATAATGATATTAGAAACAAATAACTAAATATCAAGATTATTCCCTGATTTGTCACGAACCGAAATATATGTTACAATACCGAAATCGACTTGTAAAATCACAATTAACTGTTATATTATAATTTTTTCATTATAATCTATTACAATAGGTTTAGTTTGACTTTCATGCAAAAATCAGTTCGAAATAATTAATAATTATGAAATTAGAAACAAATACCTATATATCAAGATTACTTCCCTGATTTGTCACGAACTGAAATATATGTTACCATACCGAAATCGGCTTGTAAAAGTTGAAATAAACATGTTCATAGATCTTGTTTAATTAATTAATATAAAATCATTCAAACTGAACCATAAACAAAGGAAAATAATATTTAATTATAAAAAATGATGATGTTATAGACGGATATGTATATTATATCATGATTACTTCCCTTGTAATTAATGTGTTGCATTACCGAAATCAAATCAGATTTCATTTCAAAGATGAGAACAACCCCTAAAATACTTGCATGAATTTCAGAAGTCTATGAAAAAGGTATTTGAGTGAGTTTTAAACTTTGAATTCATATATCGCTTATTTTCAATGTTTAGTCAGATAACATTGCAGCGTATCATCTCTTTGATGTTTCTTAATGATTTCAAAATACAAGATTAAACAAAACTGTGTTTGAAGTTATCCGCCTAATTTAGATCACTATTAAAAAAGTTGATTGGAAATTATCACAGTATTTAATTTAAATCCAATGATTATGTTTTGATTAAAATAAAAAGACGTAGCGGTAGCCATTCATCATAACACCTTTAATAATAAGGAGCAAGCATACACGTGCTCGGACAATGGAGGTGTTAGTTGACATAATTAACATACTCGTTAACCGCAATTCTTTAATATACATCGGCGCATGGAAACTTTAAAGTATCCAAACAACATAATTAGACATAATTATTTTACATGAAATTAAAGCTGCTTGTCTCCATAAAGACAAAAAATACATTACAGTTTAATATAAAATGACGTATAACGGCCATCCCTATATATAATATAAATTGACAAAAGACCTGTTTTAACTAATTTGTAGGGGTGGTCGCTAAACGTTTCCGTAGAAAACATTTCGGTATATGAGACATTATTATTATATTATAATTACCAAATTGCATATCAGTTGTTCCAAAAATGTATGCATTTTTTTGATGTCCCGGATACTTAACTACATATTCTACTTATTGAAAAAGTGTTAAGTCATGATTTTATGTTGATCGATTTAAAATCATTTTAAATTTCATATCTGTAAACAGCATAAATTTATGGAATGGCTGGTATATATTTATATGATGAAAAAAAAATGGAACACTTTATAAATACTGACAAATTTCAATTATGAAATGTTGTAACTTGTACGATATGACATGCTGTGTATTACTGTATTAAGTAAGGTGTGAAGTAATTAAGACAGGAGGTACAGTTGACATACAATGTATGTTAAAGATAAAAGATTATAATGAACCATCTGTTTATTTCGTATTAAACATTTGAATAAATGACTAAAATATAAAAATATTATAATAAAGAGTCCCCATAATATATGTTAGTGATTTGTTAATATATAGTTTAACTGTTCAATAAAAGAAAGACACAAACTTTCCAATTTCCAATTTTACTGCCTGATACATTAAACAATTTTAATGGAACATTTTTAGAGCAGTCGAATTATATATCTGTATTCAAATTTATAATAGAAAATCATAAACTTCCGGTTGAAGTTGGATGTTTTTTCTTCATAAAACATAAACATGTACAAAATTTATAATTATCTTTAACTCATATTACAGAGTATTTTATTTTTCCATCATAGTCCGATCATAGCTTTTTAAAAATACGATTTTATTTCGAAAATTGTTACGCACGACAATCACGTGCAGATATATAACATGCTAATATGGCGGTATCAGACTTTTTCTTAAATCATTATATACATTATATACATTGCATTCTAATATGAAATGGTATTCGTCTTCTAAGACATTACATGAAAAACATTTTCTATCATTTAAAGGTGTACTATTTGTTTTAGTCCATCTACCTGAGTCTATGTACGTGCAATCTATGAGATGATACTCTTAACCTAGTGAGATCTTTACAAAACCGTTCAACATTTAGATATGGTTGAAACTTAAAAACAGAAATATGCCTATAAAATAGAGCTCTACTAGAGTTATCTAATCTACTATCTACTAATTATATACATAATTTAAACTTCACCGCTGATTTCGGTAATGCTAAACACATAACGGGTTGTTTAGAACAAAGGCTAGTAACTTTTGTTAATAACATCATTAAAATAAAATATTTTCAATAGATTTTTTAACTGAAAGTCTATTTCACTATTTTTCATCAAATAATGAAGAAATAATAGCAATATTTTAACTAGGTTGGTTTTTACGAGTTGATTTCGGTAATGCTAAACACATAACGGGTTTGTTTAGAATAAAGGGAAGTAACTCAATAATTACATTTTTGTTAATAACATCATTAAAATAAAATATTCTCAATAGATTTTTTTAATTGAAAGTCTATTTCACTATTTTTCATCACATAATGAAGAAATAATAGCAATATTTTAACTAGGTTGGTTTTTACGAGTTGATTTCGGTAATGAAAAGTTGATTTCGGTAACTTTACCGAAATCAAGTTGATTTCGGTATCGTAACGTACCCCCTCAAGTGCATGTCTGTGGGTGAGTCTTTAAAGTCAGTAATAGTGATTCAGGTTGGGTATCATAAACCACAAATACCCCCCACACACACAAAAGGGGGGAAATCATGACAATCCTGAGTGACAGCTACATGTGTAGGTTGTTCATGAACACCTTTTCTAACTCACTAGGCTGCAGATGAGTATTTGCTTAATTATGCTTAAGTCAGTACACATATTAATATTCTTAACTATTTACTGGCGTGATAGCTCAGTTGGATAGACCACTGGCTGCCACTCCTGAGGTCCTGGGTTCTATCCTGGGTAACACCCTTGGGATTTTTCAGAGACACTTTTAGTGTTTCCAACCTAACTTGAGGTGTACTGGTAAGAAATCCAGGTAATCCTCACATGACGTGACTAGTCTCGAGTCATGTCTACCTCCCCGCAAGGGGTTTGACATGGATGAATCGATCGATCGATCAAGTTTTAGTCAATGATTGAGACAATAACATTTTGGTCAGTTTTGTTATGTTCACACCTGTGGCATTATATGAGGACACTGTCACCGCAGGGAATTATGAATGTATTAAAAAAACCCAATTAAGAAACCAGCATAGGGAAAAAATTTTAATCACATAGTTGTAGGGTGTCACTGTGAGCCAATTCCGTTGCATTCACTGCCAAATTTTATTATTTTTTCATAGAAAAACATGGAAAGCTTTTTTGGTTGTTTTAATATCTACATGTAATTGTAAGACCGTCTAAAATGGCCTGAATTAGCAATTTATTTGTTTCATGTTTTGAATGTCAAAATTTTAATTTTGAATCATACTAAATAACATTCTTTTACTAAATCATTTGATACAGAAATCTCCTTTTAAAACACCTCTTAACACTAATTTAAGTGTTACTAAAGGCCTGTGTGGCTGTGGCACTTAAATTATTTGAACTGATTTGTAGAATAAAATCATAACATAGCGACTATAATAAGTCTTAGCAATCAATCAAATTCCTTGAGAATATAAAAGAACACTTTATAAGATCCTTCAGAGGTCGAGGGTCAGTATTTCATTTCAAATAGAAAAAAATCATCATTCTGTTTAAAGTTACGATGTTTTCTTTGATTAGTTTACTGATATAATGTCTGTAAGGGTAATATTTTTCTGTGTATTAAACAAAAGATTACTTTATAGAATATTTTATTCCTTCAATGTTTAACCTACTGCTGCCAAAGTTGTTTAAGCAGGACCAACACTGATAACTTGCATACTTACACACTTGTCACTTATAGACATTTTCATTAAATTCTGCTGAATTGCTGTTTGAAATTACAAGCATTTGTGTGGTTTTGGTATTTCACTATTTGACTAATATTAGGGCAGGTACAATGATGTGTATGTATACATGTAGTCACATTAGCACAGCTCATTTCTAATGATGCTATAATTACGAGGGATGATCAAAAATAAACCGGACTGTGACTGGCAATTGAAGAATTTTCATCCTATCACTTATTGTTATATATCACACTTAATTGGAAAACAATACCTGTAAACTGATGCTATATCTAATCTGATAACACAAATAGCTTGTCTGTAACAGCAAATTTAAAAACCATGGTAACGCCCACCCGGCCCAGTGCGTAAATTCGCCTTGACATCAGGCGCTTTATGTTGCGTGTATTTTACAATATGGCACACTTAGATTTCAAAATACGCCAAAATGTCATGTACCATATCTTTGACGTTGTCAGTAAAAATGACTTCATTTAAACCATATTTATATTTACAATCACAATTCAAACGTCACAATTTTGTTAATGAAATACTCGCGTTAAAACTATGTCGTCGGAATGTCTCGAAAATCGATCAATAGGAAAAATTGCCAAATGTAAGACAAGAAACTGTTTAAAACGTAGAAAAAGATTATGGCTATCAAGGGAAAAATTCCAGAAAGCCACAGCATATTTTTTGATTAGCTTAAAGGATTAAGAAAGGATAATAGAGAAATAGAAAACAAGTAAGGGAGAGACAAAAAAAAGACATTTTCAAGGAAGTTGGTGACGTCAATCGCCAAGACGTGGAAAAATGACAGTCGATTGACTGCGGACATTGTCAACGATGTTCGACAGTAACTACGGGACAGTGCAGTCAACTCTGAGGATTTTAAAATGACAATAGTTAATGCACTAATTACACGTATTGTATTCTTGGTTTACAATTGTATCAATTATTTTCTTATTTTATGCAGTAGTCTTATGGAGAAATTGTGTCAATAATTTAACAGTCACTGTTCAAATTGGCTATGCGTTTTATTTATTTTAAAATAATGACAATTTTGATCATAGTTGTATTATTCTGTTATTTTTTTTGTATGTATAAAACATTATCATTCAGCAACATTATTTTACATTATTTGTAATACAAAATATAGTTAATTGTAATGTGCGATTTTTTCAACAATCAAGTTACAGAAGGAATTAACGGAAGTTTGCGTCATTACAGGAGCTCTTTATCACCATTCATTCTTTTACAATACAATATGATACCCACTTGTACAGAAATATATCCGCCGCATCAATAACATGACTTTACCACATATTGGCCTACTCCGTGAATCAGTAAAAATCTGCTCCGTTAAGGACAATACGCTTGTGACGTCGTTAACGTCAATTTTAAAGTTGTACCGTGCGCTGCATTGCTTTATATGTGCATGCCAATAACAGCATAACTTTTTTCTTTGTTAATATTTCTTGTTGGTATTTTTTGTATCATTTAGGGGATATATTCCGATTTATTTTCCGTGTATTGTTATGTAAATTCATTTAACAGGTTAAGAATCATTTACAAAGTCCGGTTAATTTTTTATCATCCCTCGTACATACACATGAACTTTTTTTGATGATCAAGTGGGAGATTTTCTTCAAAAGGAGGGAGATTTTAGAATTTGCAATAAACAAAGAAGGAAGTTCTGATACCAAAAGGAGGGAGATTTCTTTAATTTGTGAAAATACCCCTTATTTTAGGAAAAAGCTTTGAAAATATGGCTGCAGAAAGTGGGAGTCTCCCGCAAAAAGTAGGAGAGTTCACATGTATGTAATTATCATAAATTTTCATACATCAGAATGATTTTCTTTACAGGACAATTAAGAGTTTTCCAATGTGCTGAACTTTGTAGGTCATGGCAAGAACAAAGCAAACAGCACGGAAGAGTACCGGTGGTCCTGGTGGCCCCCCAGTTCCCCCACCTCCCCCACCACCACCCCCTGCCTCTCCTCCACTTGAATTGACGAGCACAAAAATGACATCAAAGAAAGCTAAAGGTATCATTGAGGAAAAACAATATGTAAGTTGCCTTTTTTAACCTCAATAAATTTTTGCAAGTTTTTTATTTCATATAAGACTTACTCTGTTTCATGTGCATTTTGAGTATCTATGTTTTTTCATAATACATTACAGTTGTAAAATTCGAGGAGAAGCAATATATAAGAAGTTTATCTTTTAAAGGAATTCCATTGACGTCCAACAGCCTGAAAACATAAAATTTGAGTTTCCATCATAGATCAGCTGGGGCACTTAAAAACAGAAAGATATGCAATAGATATAAGAAAATTACCCCAAAATAAATTGAAAATCATATTTTTGTGCTATTCTTAGACCAATTTGAGTGAAAGGCATTGCAACGCTTTCCAATTCTGGACTATTTTTCATAATGAGAATAATTATTCTGTACAAACTAAGTGAGCGAATGATCTAAAACTAAATTGTTCACATGTTATTTATGTATACAATAACATTCATTAAATGGAACATAAATCCGGAAAAATTATTTCCGAACATGTCACATAAAAAACCTCAGTGGCAAGTGCATAATTATAAGTCTTAATTACTTTTTAAATATATGTATCTTTCTTATATATTTCACTTGGGAAATAAAGCCTAAGCCAAGGAAACATAAATATTACATTTATTACAAGATATTTTTCATTCGACTATGAGGAAGTTAAAACATGTATTATATGTTTGTTTTTGCAGGCTGATGATTCATTATTACCTGGTCCAAGAAATATTAATACACTCAGTAATATTCTATCACCGTCAGTTCTACTGAGACAAAAAGAAAGTCTGAAAAATTACGGCACTGAAGAAGGTAGGTTTTTATAACATTTTATTTGTAGTAAAGCAGCATGAAAAGTGCTTGAAATTCAAACTTTCTGACATAATACACTTCTGTCAACTGTATTTGGTCCTAATTAATATTTACATTTTAATTTTGCCAATTAAAGACTGTGTTCTTATGAAGAATAAATGAGCCGCGTCATGACAAAACCAACATAGTTCGTTTGCGACCAGCATGAATCCAGACCAGTCTGTGCATCCGCGCAGTCTGATAAGGATCCATGCTGTTCGCTATCAGTTTCTCTACTTGTAATAGGGTTGTAAGCAAACAGCATGTATCCTGATCAGACTGCGCGGATGCGCAGGCTGGTCTGAATCCATGCTGGTCGCAAACCATTATGTTGGTTTTGTCGTGATGCGGCTCAAATACTGTAAACCCCCTGCTCAAAGGACCACTAGTTGCTCTTTCAGAAAGGGATTTTAATAGATGGATGACTTTAATGAAGTTTGAGTGTCACTTTTTCAGTATAGATTTACATTGTAGATTCAATGCAATGCAGTATCTTTAACATACCCTTTGAGAAATCAAAACAGCTTGTTTCTTTTTTAATTCAGCATTTTTTTATATAATTATATCATCATCAGTCTGTGAATGTATTATAGAAAGTTATGATTGATTTAATTTTTATTTGAAGCTGAACTAACCCGAGAGGGTCTTCTAGAAGGAGCTGGCAGCTCACGTCGTTCTCTACCTCTTATATCAACACTCGTAAGTTTCTTTATTATCCTTTCAAAACTGAGTTAGGCTAAAGTCACTGATTGAGCATCTTTTACTTATTCATAAAGACCTGGAAAAATCATGGAAAGTGTTGTATCTAAAAAATCATGGAATTGTGATTAAGAGAATTTTATCATTGGAAAAACAATGAAAACAACTAAGCATGAAAAGTTAAAATGTGTTCTTGAAAAGCGTCAAAGATCAAAATAAAAAAAAAGAACATGATTTTCATAGCTATAAACAGTTCTATAACAGTTAAATATGTTTTTGACGAAACCGATTGGTTTTTATCTACTATTTCATTGTTTCAGAATTTTTGTGTCGCCTCTACGGAGTAGTGGCGACATATAGGGATCACTTCTCCGTCATCTGTCTGTCTGTCTGTCTGTCTGTCCGTCTGTCCGTCCGTCCGTTACTAAACTTGTCCGGACTACTGCTCATAAACTACTGGTGCAATTTCATCCAAACTTTACAGGAATGATCAGTACCAAGTCTAGTTGTGCATATTGTCAGCATTTTCCGGTTCAATGATTTTTGTCAGAGTTATGGCCCTTTAATAATTTTTAATTTTAAAGTTTGTCCGGACTACTTCTCTTATACCACTAATGCAATTTCAATGAAACTTCACAGGATTGATCTGTAGCTCAAGTCCTTGCGCATATTGCACGGGTTTTCCGGTTGAATGATTTTTGGCCGAGTTATGGCCCTTTGACAAAAAGGTGTTTTTTTCTTTGTGTTGCCAGATACACAAAAGCTTGTCCGGACTACTCCTCATAAACTACTGGTGCAATTTCATCCAAACTTTACAGGAATGATCAGTACCAAGTCTAGTTGTGCATATTGTCAGCATTTTCCGGTTCAATGATTTTTGTCAGAGTTATGGCCCTTTAATAATTTTTAATTTTAAAGTTTGTCCGGACTACTTCTCTTATACCACTAATGCAATTTCAATGAAACTTTACAGGATTGATCTGTAGCTCAAGTCCTTGCGCATATTGCACGGGTTTTCCGGTTGAATGATTTTTGGCCGAGTTATGGCCCTTTGATAAAAAGGTGTTTTTTTCTTTGTGTTGCCAGATACACAAAAGCTTGTCCGGACTACTCCTCATAAACTTATGGTGCAATTTTATCCAAACTTTACAGGAATGATCAGTACCAAGTCTAGTTGTGCACTGTCCGTCTGTCTGTCCGTCTGTCACAAAATTTGTCCCAACATGAAATTGGCCATTATGAGGCGACACATGTGATTACTGATCGCTCTTGTTCTTATTATCATCACTTTTTCTATTTTGTTGTGTAACCTCTGAAGTGTAAAGGATGAGCAATAAAGGTTTGTCAATCTAACTCTAACTGGAGCACATCATGAATAGTACAGGGACTTTAGCTTGAGCCGCTGAAATAAAAAAAATGCATAGCCCTGTCCTAATGTGCCATATGCTTATTGATTAATCAGATATCATAATGGTAAAACTTACAGTAGATTTATGCATATTTTTGTATTGTGCAAACATGTTTCCAGTATTAAGCTTCAGAGCAAAGCAATAAAAGCATGAGCCTTGTCTTTTAAATCATTATCACTTGAGCAAGAAACACAACACACCAATTTCTATTGATATTATGGAAAATTATTACTTGTGTCATGTAAAAGTAATTGAAAAGTCCCAGCAGTTTGTATAAACTTCGTATATTACCACTTCTGGTTTGCAAGCTTTTTGTGTCAGAGGTATTTTAGCTAGCTTATAGTATTAAATTGATGGTTTTTATCAGGTACAATCATGTACCTGAGGACTCTTCCTCCACTAGAAATGCTGGGAAGTTGCACTTTCTTACCATTGTATAAGATAATAATTGCAACTTGATTACAGAGATCACCTGGTTAAAGTGGCCATTTTCAGGCCCAGTCTTCTCTCTGATCATTCTGGATTTGTATAACTTGTATAAATATATTAATCATGTACAAATTCACATTGTATACATGAATATATATACAAATGTACATTGTATATACATGTACATGAGTAATTTCATACAAGAAACCGAGCAATTTTCAAAACTGAAAAATACTTTCCTCTATCAGTATTTGAGCGATATATTATATGTGTGTAAATTATTCTGTTTTACAGGATTATATGCGAACTGAAAGTGAACAAGCTGCAGCAGTTACAGTGTTGAACTTCAGTGGTGCCGATCAACTAACCGATATGTTCTGGTATATGGTTTTACAGAAAAAGATAAATATGCCAAAACTTCAACGCATCTCTCTAAGTGGTAATTATCATACATGTAGTAATATTTAACTCTCGGAAACATGCAATTAATAAACGCTAAGTTTTTTGTTTGTTTCTTTTTTTATAATTTCTTTAAAACATTGAGAGAAGTCAGAAAAAGTATGCATAATAAAGAATCCCAAATACAGTACATGTGTAGTGGCTCATTGTATCAAGAAATTAATACACACAAAAAAAATAAATAAATAAAAAAAAAATAAAAAAAATGGCACTAGCAATGTTTTACTTGCATTAAAAGTTTTAACCCACAGGAGCTTAATGCAGCTTGCAACTTTTTGTTCAGTTAATTTTTGATACATTTTTTAGCTCACCAGAGCCGAAGGCTCAGGGTGAGCTATTAGTATCAAAGGGGGTCGTCCGTCGTCATGCGTCAACAATCGTCTTCTTCTCTGAAACTACTGGACAGATTTAATTCAAATTTGGTCTGTACCATCCTTGTGACAGTCACACTTGAATTTGCTCATGTCATTCCAATTGGCCCCTTTTAGGGGTCAGCAGAGCTAAAAATAGAAAAACCTTTAACATCTTCTTCTACAGAACTAATGGATGGATGATCACCAAACTTTGTCTGTAGCATTCTTGGGTAGTCTTTTATCAATTTTGCTCAAACTAATTTGATTGGCCCCTTTTAGGGGTCTCAAGGGCTAAAAAATAAAAAACCTTTAAACATCTTCTCCTACAGAACTGATGGATGGATGATCACCAAACTTTGTCTGTAGCATTCTTGGGTAGTCTTTTATCAAATTTGCTCATATGAATTTGATTGGCCCCTTTTAGGGGCCACAAAAGCTAAAAATAGAAAAACCTTTAAACGTCTATTTCTACAGAACCAGGGCTCACACTGGCTCAAATAAAATAATAGCCAATAATTTCAACTTAAAAAAATAATAGCCAAAAGTTCAGCGGACTATTCACGAATTAGCGATTTACAACATACGCAGTTGATTAAATAAACATTACATTTATATCTTTCAGTCTTATAAGGATTCTCAAATAAACTGATACATTTGTGTATATTGATAACTACCTTTTTTAAATAGAACCACAACTTTAATTGTTATTATAGAACAGAATAAAAACGTTATAATTAGTATAATTACTGTATAACAATAATATTAAATATTCATTATAACTTTACATAATGCTGTTATCAGACAACTTTTTTGTTTGTTCTAATCAAATTTTGTCAGCTATAACCACTGTCAATTTCCACATTTCACACAGAACTGGAGTAGATCATATTAGCCTATAGAAATAACACAAGTTTTGTAAACTCATTCACAGAATGCAGCCTTTTTTCTGAATAATTTACTGAAAAAATATCATCATCACCAATGTAATACAAATTTCTGCCATAGTAGTAATGATTTTTAAACAGAACAAAGCTTATTTCACCTTTAAATAAATATCAAAATTACCGGTGGTGTCGCGAAAATATGTGACAATTCGGATTTTTTTCCTGTTTTTCTGAAGAAATATTCACAATTTTTTTGTTGTGCAAATAGTAGTTTGGAAGTTAATACTTTTTAAATATTTTACCATTGTTTTCCACTTGCGATTTAGTCAAGTAGCTTAAAACAAAAAAAAAAATCAAAATTTGCAATTACTGCAATTCACGGTAAATTTTGGGTAAGTCAATATCCAGTTTATCAATTTTAATACGATTTTTGTGGCTAATTGACGGATATTTGATGGCTATTATAAATGCTGGACAATATCTTTTAAGTACTTATACAATTATACATCTCGCATGCATTTTATCACCTCGGGCAATATAGTTAGCAGCACGTGACCGGTAAAAAGTTGACACTCGATTAAATGCACCCCGCTGGTGTTAATTGGGTCTACTGCATTCATTATCGATTTTTACACCTTATATAAACACTGTTGGAAGTAAAAAATAATCGCCAGATTTTGTAGCCAAAATGCAAAAAAAATCGCCAATCTTATAAAATAATCGCAAATGGCGACTATGGCGACCGACAGCGTGAGCCCTGAGAACTAATTGATGGATGATCACCAAACTTTATCTGTAGCATTCTTAGGTAGTCTTTTATCAAGTTTGCTAATATTATTTTGATTGGCCCCTTTTAGGGGTCTCTAGGACTAAAAATAGAAAAACCTTTAAACATCTTCTCCTACAGAACTAATTGATGGATGATCACCAAACTTTGTCTGTAGCATTCTTGGGTAGTGTTTTATCAAGTTTGCTCATATTAATTTGATTGGCCCCTTTTAGGGGCCGCTAAAGCTAAAAATAGAAATACCTTTAAATGTCTATTTCTAGAGAACTAATTGATGGATGATCACCAAACTTTGTCTGTAGCTTTCTTGGGTAGTCTTTTATCAAGTTTGCTAATATTATTTTGATTGGCCCCTTTTAGGGGTCTCAAGGGCTAAAAATAGAAAAACCTTTAAACATCTTCTCCTACAGAACTAATTGATGGATGATCACCAAACTTTGTCTGTAGCATTATTAGATAGTCTTTTATCAAGTTTGCTCATATTCATTTGATTAGCCCCTTTTAGGGATCTCTATAGCTAAAAATAGAAATACCGTTAAATGTCTATTACTTGAGAACTAATTGATGGATGATCACCAATCTTTGTCTGAAGCCTTCTTTTTTGGGTGGTCTTTTATCAAGTTTGCTCATATGAATTTGATTGGCCCCTTTTAGGGGCCGCTTAAACTAAAAATAGAAAAACCTTTAAACATCTTCTACTTCAGAACCAATTGATGGATGATCACCAAACTTTGTCTGTAGCATTCTTGGGTACTCTTTTTTTATCAAGTTAAAATAGAAATACCTTTAAATGTCTATTTCTTTATTATCACCACACTTTGTCTGAAGCATTGTTGGGTAATCTTTCATCAAGTTTGCTCATATTTATTTGATTGGCCCCTTTTAGGGGCCGCTAAAGCTAAAAATAGAAAAACCTTTAAACATCTTCTACTTCAGAACCAATTGATGGATGATCACCAAACTTTGTCTGTAGCATTCTTGGGTACTCTTTTTTTATCAAGTTTGCTCATATTAATTTGATTAGCCCCTTTTAGAGGCCACTAAAGCTAAAAATAGAAAAATAGAAAAAGCCTTGAACATCATTTCCTACTGAAATAATTGATAGATGATCACCAAACTTTGTAGCATTCTTAAGTAGTCTTTTATCAAGTTTGCTCATATTAATTTGATTAGCCCCGTTTAAGCTAAAGCTTAAATACCCCAGGTCATGGCATTTCTTCAAATTATTGTTTAAACATATTCTATGCTCAAATTTAATATTAGAATATATTGACATTTCCAACACTGAAAAGCAGTTGTTTCTGGTGAGCGACTCAGGGCCATCATGGCCCTCTTGTTTTGAAAACATTATTATGTGTTTTTTCTTTAAAACTTTTTTTTACAGTCATTTTGTTTTAAAATCAATGAACCGCTAATAACATTATGTCATTAGCCCTTATAGTCCTATAAATGAAAAGCTGTTATTTTATTTCTAGTACAAAGATATTTAGTAAACAGTAAATACAAAGATTTTATGTTTGACTATATAAAGAATCAGTGAGGTTTCCTACTAATTTGGATTATGTATACAATGACTCTGTTATGGGTTTTGCTCACAATTTTGTTATATTTTCTTTTATTTTTTTGAAAAACAATTTATCAGGATTTGCATTTTTTTACTACCTATTTTGCTCAGCTTGCTAAACACAAAATTTTCACACTGTTTTAAAAAAATTTAAAGATGGTTTCCCCTTCTAAAAAGTTTAAAAATTTTTTTTAAAAAAACCAATGTTACAAAAACCAATGACTGTATTTCAACTTAACTTCACAGGAATTATTTTTTCCCGGTTAAAATTGGGAAAAGTTATAGTTCACATTTTTAACCCTTTAGGCATTTTAAAATGATTTTTCATTTCCCGTCCCCAAAGGGGGTTTCTTAATTGCCCCACCCCCTTTTTTACCAAAAATTTCATTATTTTGGGGATCTTTCCAGAATTTTTAAAAAATTCATTTATTTAAAATTTGTCAGTTAAATTTTTCCCGTATAAAATTAAAAAATATTTTAATTTTTAAGAAGCTTTCTGAATTTTAAGGGATTTAACTGGAACTTTATGTTTATTTATTGTAACAGATGTTTGTTTATAATGGGTGATACAGGTTGAACTTTGTGGATTGAAAAAATTGACAGAAGAATCATTACTGAATATTATCTCAAAGTGGCAGAAAACCTTGGTTCAGGTGAATTTATCGGGAACCAGTGTTGGATTGATACCACATGGGTACCAGGGCAGTATTAAGATTAATGGCTGCCCATTGGTCTCCCCAACAGAGACGTTATACCAGGCTAAAAGTAAGACAAGTAAGTTGAAACATTAATGAGTTCATTAAAACCTCTACCATGCTAAATAACTTAAATTGGCCTGTCAATCTTTAATTAATGGTTAGGACCATTCATTATTTTTAAGGAAAATTTCAAACATATGTTCTGACTGAAGAGCATTAACCAGTGAAGATGATGATCAGTCAGCAGTAAGTCAGAGTTACATTACTACAGAGTTATGCCCCTTTGCTTACTGTCAAGCGCTGACAATTATCAAGCAAACTGTCTTACAGACAGATTTTGTTTACACTCATACCCTGTCGCAGTCCCCACCTCCTGACTTATTCATTTGTATTTTACAGTCATTTTTGTGTCGCCTCTACGGAGTAGTGGCGACATAAAGGGATCACTTCTCCGACGTCTGTCTGTCCGTCTGTCTGTCCGTCCGTCACAAAACTTGTCCGGACTACTCCTCATAAACTACTGGTGCAATTTCATCCAAACATTACAGGAATGATCAGTACCAAGTCTAGTTGTGCATATTGTCAGCATTTTCCGGTTCAATGATTTTTGTAAGAGTTATGGCCCTTTAATAATTTTATTTTTAAAGTTTGCCCGGACTACTTCTCTTATACCACTAATGCAATTTCAATGAAACTTTACAGGATTGATCTGTAGCTCAAGTCCTTGCGCATATTCCACGGGTTTTCCGGTTGAATGATTTTTGGTCGAGTTATTGCCCTTTGATAAAAGGTGTTTTCTTCTGTGTCTTGCCAGATACACAAAAGCTTGTCCGCACTACTCCTCATAAACTACTGGTGCAATTTTATGCAAACTTTACAGGAATGATCAGTACCAAGTCTAGTTGTGCACTGTCTGTCTGTCTGTCTGTCCGTCTGTCAAAAAACTTGTCCCCACTACTCCTCATAAACTACTGGGGCAATTTCATCCTAACTTTACAGGAATTTATGTCGCCACTACTCAGATCACTTCTCCGTCTGTCACAAAACTTGTCCCAACATGAAATTGGCCATCATGAGGCGGCACATGTGATCACTGATCGCTCTTGTGATAAAAAAAAGGCGGTTCAAAAAGTGGGTTCAGCATAAAGATGTTAACATGAATTTATTGAGGTTATTGTTTTGTTGATTTAGTGGCTGAGAAGATGGATAGACAGGTAGAGGAATGGAGTTGCTATAAGGTTGTCATAGTAACAGATGACACTGTACCGTGGAGCCCTCTAGCACTTTTTACCGGCGAGAAAGACATGAAATCCAGCAAAAAGTTACAGATTAAAAGTAATGTCAGTATTGGCAAATCCACTGTGGTCAATATGTTTGAGGTTCCAGTGGACTCGGTAAGATATAACTGAAATGTTTTTTCTTATTCACTAAAACTTTTTTATACATTTAACAGTCGTTAAAAAGGTTTTTAACAGAATGTATGGCCCTAAATAAATGGTTGTTTGTAAAAAAATGTATATATATGATTATATAACCTTTCAGGAATATTTGTAACAAATCTATATTACAGCAAACTAGCTTATTTAGAGAAAAAAAGAGATTTCTGCATAAATTGTCAGCAGCCGTGTGTATAAAACTATATAAATGTCATGATTATCCAATGAAAAGCTGCATTACAAAAGTGCAGTATTATGAATTATCAAAAACATAAGTCTTTATGATATCATTAAAGTATATATATGACATTAGCTCAGTGATAGGTTGACTAAAATAAGATGGTTATCCTCATTTCAGTAATTCTTCACTAAAACTGTCAGCTACATAATTATGATTGGTATTTATTTTTGGCCAGGTTGCACTGGTGCAAACCCGGGTTAAAGTATGGTGAATGTCTGGTGGGTGGTGGGCGGGCAGGGAAAAACTTTTCGTAACAGTTTTCTCAACAACTAATTATCACAGCCTCTTGATATTTGGCATACAGCATTGGCACATGGTCCCATACCGTGCGATTTAATTTCAGGTCTGTTGCTTATCCACTTCCTGTTTACCGACTTAGTTAAATTTTCGACATTAATGGTCAGTGGTAAATTTTTTTTGTAGCATCACAGCATCATGATATTTGGTATACAAATGCAACCCGGCCTTTTCTGTCTTTGACCCATTTTGTTATTAAATAATGAGTATATTACAGGGGTTTGTGGACATGTTTGTGACTAAAGGAAGTATTGTAATCATACCATATCTACTGGCCGAGGATGGCCCCGACCCAGACTATCCTGACGAAATCAGTAAAAATATCATCAGAATCTTTACAAAGGTAACAATTATTATAATATTAATTGTCCGCTACAAATACATTTGTATAAAAGTTACTTAAAAAGCTATTATGATTCAAATATTTTTGTTATACCGTCCACAACTAAGTTTATAGGAGGTATACAGGATTGAGCTTGTTGGTCCAGCAGTTTTGTGGTTTTTTGATGATAACAAGCGTTTTTTTTTTTTCATTTATTATGTTCTTTCATATATGAATTACAAAAAACATTCCAGTTAACATACTGTTGTTACATGTATTCAACATAATATATTCCATTATAATAATTATTCAATTCTAACAGTAATGTAAAACATACACACAAAACAATCTCACACAGATACATACACAAATACACATACACATACTCACACATATGCACACACGCACACACGCATATACACATACATACACAGGCACTCACACACGCTCTCTCATGCACAAAAAATGTTTTTGTCCCTTTTTATATAGTGATTTATACAAATCTTATTAGTTTTTTTTTATAGATATGGTTTTTGCATTGTTTTACAATTGATTTAATCCACAATTCTTATATTACAGAGGATATTCCATTTTGTCTTATGCGCTTCCAATTTATCTTTAGATAAAGCAATTTGTTCTTCTATTTGTATTCTACTGTATAACATTTTTCTAAATATTTCAAAACTTGGTGTATATTTTTGATATTTTGTCTTAAAAAATGTAATATTTCATTAGAATGAGAATGAAATTAATCATGTTACTATGCAGATTAATTTTAAGTTCTCCAAAGAATAATATTTCTTTCGAAAGATTAAACATAATTCCAATTGAGTTTAGCCATGTGTGTAGCATTGACAAAATAGTTTGTATTTTCGTACATTCCCAGAAGAGGTGGTCAATATTTTCAATGCTATTATGACAAAAATCGCACAAATTTGTGTCAGACAGTTTGCATTTGAAGAGAAAAGTATTAGTCGGTATAATTCTATGGAGGAATTTATACTGGAAATTTCTTAATGTGACATTTAATGTGCTCTTATAAGGCAGTTGATATATCTTTTTCCAGTCAATATGCTTTTGTATATTTTCTTCCCATTTAGTTTCATTACTTTTTTTCCCTTGACATTTTCCGTTTTTCATTTGCAAATCATATAAAAGTTTATTCACAGATTTGGATTGTATAACATTTTGTATAAAAGGTTGCGAGGAAACAGTGTTAATTTCAGCATTTTTTTAACTTGTTGATAAGAGTGTCAGATATATTTCCAATAAGCATATAATACTTTAAGAAATCTGTATTATTAATGTCATACAAATATTTAAATTCTTCGAAATTATAAAACTTTCCTGTTCTGTAATCAAATAAGTGTTGTACGAATTTAATTCCTTTAATAAACCAGTTTTCATAAAATACAAGTTTACCATCTATTTTTATATCTGAGTTATTCCAAAATAATGTCTTTATAAGAGATATTTTTTGTTAAGTCTGTACTTTTTATTTCAATCCATGCATTTAGCATATTATTTATAAAACTTTTGTGTGGAAATAGATTATTAGCATCTTGTTTTGAAATGTTACATTCAAAAATAAGTTCATTTCCATATTTTAATAATTTATTCTTAACAAATAATTTCCATAAGCTATGATTTTCTTTATCTAAGTATCTTTTGATCCAACTTGCTTTTAACGATTTTAAAAAATATGATATGTCTGTAAGTTTAAGTCCCCCATTCTCAAAATTTTGCTTTATAACATTTCGTTTAATTTTGTCTGTTTTCCTTCCCAAATGAAATGAAATATTGCATTTTCAATTTCCTTGATTTTTGACTCTGGCGGGTTTTCTAACACCGCAAAAGGATATATTATTTTTGGTAGTGCAAATGTCTTGATAACAGTTACCTTACCCATCAAAGTTAATTTTCTATGTTGCCATTGTTTCAAGCAGTTGTAGAAATCCTCAAGTTTTGGTTCAAGGTTAGTTTTTAATATATTTGTGTTATCTGTTGAAAAAGTAACTCCTAATGTTTTTTGCTGATTCTGATGACCATTTAAAATTGTTTTTTTACAATAAATTGTATTTGTATTACGAAGTGATCCAATTCTTAATATTGTTGATTTTCTAGTATTCAGATTAAGACCTGATATAAGACTAAAATTTTTTAAGACATAGACGAGTCGTTCAAAAGACATTTGTGTACCATCATTTATAAAAGATGCATCATCAGCAAAAAAAGTTTGTTTAATTTCTTTTCCTTCAATATATATTCCCTTGATATCGCGATCATTTTCTATGTAATTCGACAATATTTCAAGACATATAATAAATAAGGACGATGATAATGGACATCCTTGTCTCACACCTCTCTCTATATTAAAAGTTTCTGAAAAATGGCCGTTATTGACTATTATACTAGTAATATTCGTGTAAAAGAGTTTCACCCACTGAATTAAATCATTTCCAAAATTAAATTTTCTCAATGCAGATATAATAAAATTGTGGCTAAGACTATCAAATGCCTTTTCAAAATCAGCAAAAAATAACAAACCTGGTTTATTTCTTTCTTTTAATAGTTCAATAACTTCAAAAATAAGTCTAACGTTTTCCCCCAATGTATCTGTTTTTCATAAATCCAGATTGATTAAAGCTTATGATCGAAGGTAAAATTTTTTTTAATCGGTTAGAAATTGTTTTTGTGGCAATTTTATAGTCAACATTTAATAAACTTATTGGTCTCCAGTTGGATAAATTTGTGAGATCCTTGTCTGGTTTTGGTATAAGTGATATAATTCCTTGTCTTTGAAGTGTAGTTAAGTTACCTATTACAAAAGAATGATTAATTGATTTTATGAAATATTCTTTTAAGTCGTCCCAAAACATTTTATAAAACTCTACTGTCAAGCCATCAGAGCCTGGGCTTTTATCGTTTTGCATTTCTTTTAAAGCTATATTTATTTCATGTGCATTTAAAATTCCTTCACAACTGTCTTTTTCAACTTCAGTTAAAGTTTTTTATATATATATTTAAAAAATCTATTTCTGGAGCTTCAGAATATTTTATTTTGTACAAATCTTCATAGAATAGTCTTTCTTCACAAAGAATTTCTTCTCTGTCAGTTATTTCTTTTGTTTCTTTAATAAGTTTATGTAAAATTTTCTTTTCAGCATGTTTTTTCTCGAGATTTGCGAAGTATTTACTGTTTTTTTCATTGTGTTCAATATGAATAGCTTTTGCCCTTAATATTTGACCATTTATTTTTTTATCATACAATGTTTCTAAGTCCAACTTTTTTGATTTTAGCTCTTCATTGACTCTATCATCTGTTTGAACTGACAGTTTGTTTTCGAGTTTTTGAATGTCGTTTATTAGATTATGTTCTTCGTTTTTTTCTTTTTTTCTTTTTATTGCTTGCATACTTTATTGTTTCATTACGTATTCCGCCTTTTATTATTTCCCATAATGTGTTAGGGTTACTGTTTTTATTAATTTCTACCAACATTTTAATTGTATTTTTCACTACCGTCTGATATTCTTTATCTGTCAATATTGAATTTTTTTTATAGCCTGGTCCCTTTTCCATCACTTTATTATCAATGAAAAGTTTTACTAATGAATGGTCGGTTTTATATCCCGGAGTAATTATTGATTTTGTAATTATATTAGTGAGGTTCTCTGATATAAGACAGTAGTCTAGTCGACAGAATATGCATGGTTTACCATTTGAACGCCACGTATATTGCCTTTTATCGGGATGATGTATTCGCCAAATATCGACTAATTTACATGAGACTATTAATGATTTTATATTTTCTCTACATTTTTTATGAGTATCATATCGTCCATTTTTTTTATCTATTTTTGTATCTATTACTGTATTAAAATCGCCACCGGCGATTATGTTTTTATCATTATTCTGTAAAAGAAATGTTTCTAATGTTGCAAATAAACTGATATTATCATCATTAGGACCATATATATTTAATAAAGTAAATTCTCTTCCGTTTATAGTTATGTCAATTGATATTAATCTACCAATGATTAACTCATTTGTATTTACTATTTTTATGTTACTATCTTTTTTTATAAGAATTGCTACTCCTTCCTTATTTGTTTTATTTCCACTAAAATATGATTCACCTTTCCATTCTTTTTTCCAGATTTCGGAATGATAATTATTAGAATGTGTTTCTTGCAACATATATATAGAACATGGTTGAGAGTCTAACCATTCAAAAAGTTGTTGTCTTTTTTGTTTATTTCCTAATCCTCTAACATTTAATGACGAAATTACCGTTTCCATTGAAATTGTAGATATGAATATCTTCCAAAATGCGTTTTTAAACCATACCATAAAATATTGATACTAATTTCACTTGTCATTAAGTGGACAAAAATAAACAAGTCGAAATTAAAAGGTACAAAAAAAGTAAAGGATTTTTCAAAAAAGATGAGCATAATCATTATTTATGAATAGTTGATAGGTATCAATGCTTTCACATTCATTCACGCTACTTACACAACTCACTTCTACATAATGAATAAAATTTACATGTTTAACTTTGACGATTATACATAACAATCTTATACGATTTAAACTCCCAATTTATACTATTTGATAAGTAAAATCATATACATTTAAATACTTTCACATATACATACTTATCAATCATCATGTATAGTAACAATAGTAACATCGGTTTCAATTATCAATCAGGTTATACAAAAAATACAACACTGTACTGTATACTAGATAGTCTACATGTTGCTTGTATATACAATCATGTCGATCACACAAAAACTCAGATAATCTTGTATTACCAATCTTAATACATTTCTATAAAACATGTATTTATAAGATCAATACTATTTGACAGGTAAAAACATAAACATTCAAATTACTTATACCAATACATGTTTATCAATCACAATGTATATTAATTATAGGAATGTCGGTTTCAATTTATCAATCAGTTAATACAAAACAAAAAAACAAACACTATACTGTATACTATGTGGGTAGCATATTGCTTGTGTATACAAATATGTCGATCATAATCGTTATCTATTTTATTTGTTAATCGCTTTGCGATACACAAACTACTTTATCTATACATGTTTACTTTAATATGTACACTGTAGAAGTATAGTCTACCTATCTCACGCGGTATATGTTTATTATTATCATGTTTATATCGTGTAAGAATTTTAAAAAAGTATAATGTCATTAAATGTGAAAAACAAATTTTACATAGTAGAATTAGATTAAAAAGTTAAATAGATCTCAGTTAAGTCAAATCTCATTCATGATTATTGTAGAAAGCGTCATGTAAAACATTAGTAGTTTCAGTTAAGTTTATTATAAAAAAAAAACGTCATGTAGGCATATACTCTTCTTATTATTCAAAAATATACTGTAAAAAAGTTGCATATAACTGCACGATATTCACGCAAAATATGACGATGCGCAATATTAAATCGCATTTCGATACAGTTCACTTCCAAAAAATGTTTCGAACCAAAATTTTTTTTTTGGTCTCAATAATCTTTGTTTGGTTTTGGCCATGGCATGTCCAGCCACATGTCGAAGTCACTATTATGAACTCTATGCACGTTTCCTACTTTATTTTTGTAATATATATCTCCGTTTGCCGTCCAACATTTATCGATTTCGTCCGGCTGCTTCAATTTAACACTCAGAAAAACTTGGTGAGTTAATTTAGTCAAATCTTCTGTTAAGAATAACGGTTTGGGAAGATTTTTTTTCAATCGGAACACCTTGTTTCGTACAAGTCTGG